CTAACCCCAACTACCTCCTTCCAATTACACTTAGTTTAACATAACATTTGTATTAAATATTTAATCTACCGTTGTTGTTCTCATCTGCTTCCCAAAGCAGATATTATCTGTGTTTTATACACTCAGTATTTTCTTATCTGTCCATACATTTGTCAGCTTGTCTGCTCAGCCAACCCTCCTCCTTCTCTGCTCTTCCTTCTGGGACCACTGTCCTTCCAAAAGAACATCCTTCTTCAGTAAAGATCTTTTGGTAGAGAAGCCTTTGTATGCTTTTCTGAAAATGTTATTTTGCCCCTTTTCCTAACTGACAGTTTAGAAGAACATAAACTTTTAGGTTGAGTTGAAAATATTATTCAACTGTCTTCTGATTTATACTATTGTTGCTGAAAAGTCTGCTATTAATTTAACTTTGTAGATACTCTGTCTTTTCCCTCTGGCTACTTTCTTAGATCTTCTCTTTGTGGTTTCATTATGAGATATGTGTCTGTGTTTATTACACTGCTTGGAAAAACATGCTTTTACTCTGATGATTCTCCTCTATTTTCAATTCTGAAAAATCCTTGACTTTTATCAATCTGAGTACTGAATCTCCCTACTCTATGATTCTGAAATTCCTATTAAAGTGTATTAGACTTTCCTTTTCTACCCATTATTTTAACCCTGCCTTCGTATTTTCCAATTCTGTGTCTAGACACCATTATAGAGAATTCCAACTTATTAATTCTCTCATTAGTTGTGTCTAATTTGCTATTTAGCTCTTCTACTTAATTTATAAATTCAATTAACCCATTTTTTCACTTCTAGAATTTCTACTTTCAAGAAATCTCTTGGGTTGATTTTGACACTTCTGTTCTTTGTCATACTTCCAAATCCCTGCTTTATAATTCTGTAATTGAATTTCTTGAACATTTATTTCTGCCACTTGTCATTCTGATGATTTTCACTCACGGCATCTTGTTTCCTTGCATGTCTGGAATCTGGGATTCTCGGAATTTTGGATTCCGTTTTCGGGCACAGAGTTTACTCTGTCCATCGGGCCTTTTCTGTGAGAATACCATAAGGCCAAGTTAGAGGGGGCGACCTTCCCAAGATAATTTATGTTTTTGCTTATGCCAAACTTTCTAGGACATGATCAATCTGGAATCACTTTAATTTCGCGACTTCGCGCTTCCCAGAGAACGCTAGTTGCTATCAATTTCAACTCCAAGCTCACGTAAGCACAGGCCTACGGTTGTAAATTCTCAAGGGAAACTACCTGCCTCCCTATCTACCCAGGTCAAGACAATTTTCTTATACACTCCCTGTGTCAGCAAAAGGATCTTTCTTCTAGTCCGTACTTTCACTGAAGGTATAACCCTAAGGATGTTTTACCACCTGAGGGCCTCAGTCTCCATTTCATACCTTGTCTCTCGTGCCTTACACACTGCTACCAAACCCACATCTCTAAATTAGGCAGAGATGCAAAGTCCCACCAGCTAAAGGTGGAGGTGCACAGCTCTAGTTTCCAGCCTCCTCTTGCTCCTCTCTCCCTTTCTTACAGATGCAGCTATGCATATCCATTTTAAAAGGATATTTATTATACCTTGTCCAGCATTTCTACGTCTCGTAAGAGGACATTCTCTGGCCGTTTTGCTATTTCGCTACCATTGCCAGAAATGTAAGTCCAGGAGCACCTTCTAAGGGTGACAAGAGAAGCTCTACATGCCTTCACAAGCCCGGCCTAGGAACAAGGAATCGAGCCAGGTCACCTGAATTCGCTTCCAGCTTTAACTCTGTAAACAGGTCCCTGGCACCACCCTCCCACAGAACAAACCGTGGGTCCCGGGCCATCCTCTGGAATACTTGCTTTTATCTAGGCCCCATCATTTCTGAGGAACACTGGAGAGAGAGCTTCCAGATAAAGGTGAGGGACTGGACACAAACACTACTTTTACTCCCTCCTGTAATGTCATGAAAACCACAGCACAGAGGTTTTTTTTGAAGGCATAAACCCACGAGGACAAAGAGAACAGGAAAGAATCACAGAAATGAAATTTTGAATGGAAAACAGATACACAGTGGGTCAATAACCACACAGACTCCTGAGCTGGCTGTGGAAAAAGCTGCAAAGGACCCTCCAACACTCAGGAATTTGTGGCCCCAGATGTCTCTTAAGTCTGGGGTAAAGATGAGTCCAAAGACAGTATAAGGGGCGGCCAGACCCTCAGAGCTCACCACCACTCGCCATGGCTGGGGGCTGCCTCCCCCAACCCAGCAGAAAGGTTATTTTCCAAAGAAGATAAAGAACCTCTGGACAGGGAGGAGGAGGAAAATTTGAGGGCACAGGTACCATACTGAAACAAGAGGAATACAGGCTAACACAGCCAATGAAGAAATTCCAGCTCTCCTCCCCCTGTGGCTCCTAGGATGTTGGCAGCCGGGCCTCTACCTACTCTCCTCCACCAGTCCCCAAGCAGAAAGCAGAAGGTACTTCTCAGGAGAACATGACCAGCTTCAAAACCAGCCCGGTCAGATCATCCTACAGTTGGCAGATTCTACTCAGGAGCTCACAGTTCTTAAATTTTTTTTTTTTTCCAACGTTTATTTATTTTTGGGACAGAGAGAGACAGAGCATGAACGGGGGAGGGGCAGAGAGAGAGGGAGACACAGAATCGGAAACAGGCTCCAGGCTCTGAGCCATCAGCCCAGAGCCCGACGCGGGGCTCGAACTCATGGACCGCGAGATTGTGACCTGAGTTGAAGTTGGATGCTTAACTGACTGAGCCACCCAGGCGCCCCGAATTTTATTTTTATCTATTTACTTATTTTAAATATTTATTCATTTTCAGAGAGAGAGTGCACGTGAGCAGGGAAGGGGCAGAGAGAGAGAGGAAGAGAGAGAATCACAAGCAGGCTCCGCACTGTCAGCACAGAGCCCAACTCCAGGCTCGATTCCATGAAACATGAGATCATGACCTGAGCTGAAATCAAGAGTTGGATGCTTAACCGACTGCGCCACCCAGGCGCCCCAGGAGCTCACAGTTTTTAATCAGTACTGAGGTCCATCCTTAAATATGAACAGGTCTAAGAAAGCCAAAGCCACTTACCTGAGAGATAAACACAGGTGGGGTTTAACCAACTTACAGAAAACATATTATGTAGAGAGAAGATAACTTCAAAAATTCTATCAATACCCTCAGAGAGCTCAAAAATCAATACATCCATGAAAAATAAATAGGATGTTATTGTTAAAAAAAAAAAAACAGAATGAAAGAGCTCTCAGGAATTAAAAATGCATATATATGATGGCAGAAATGAAAATCAACGGAAGGATTAAAAGATAAAATTGAAGAAATCTCACAAAGTAAACACACAAAGATACAGAAAATAAGAGGAAAAGGAGAAAAGACCAGGAATCTAGAGGCCCAGTCCAGGAAGTTCAACACCTAAATTACAGGAGTTCTAGAAACAGAAAACAAAAGGGAAGAAATCGAAGACCAGCACACTGGAGGAAAACAGGCCCCCCAACAAGGCCCAGAAAAGATCCCACAACAAATGTCTACCAAGAAAGGTCACCTGGGGCACCTGGGTGGCTCAGTCGGTTGAGGGTACAACTTCAGCTCAGGTTGGGGCGCCTGGGTGGCTCAGTCGGTTAAGCCTCCGACTTCAGCTCAGGTCACGATCTCACAGTCCGTGAGTTCGAGCCCCGCGTCAGGCTCTGGCCTGATGGCTCAGAGCCTGGAGCCTGCTTCCAGTTCTGTGTCTCCCTCTCTCTCTGCCCCTCCCCCGTTCATGCTCTGTCTCTGTCTCAAAAATAAAAAAATAAAAAAAAAAAACAACTTCAGCTCAGGTCACGATCTCACGGTTCGTGGGTTTGAGCCCCGCGTCAGGTTCTGTGCTGACAGCTCACAGCATGGAGCCTGCTTTGGATTCTGTGTCTCTCTCTCCCTCTCTGCCCTCCCTACTCTCTCTCTCAAAAATAAATGTTTAAAAAAAAATTTTTTTTTTAAGAACCAGATGAAAATTCTAAAACTGAATAATCTGAAACCAAAAATTCACAAATACAGGTTGAAAGTGAACAAATGGAAATAAATATACCATGTCAACATAGCTCGAGGGTTACAAGATGAAATTTTGTAACATTAAGACACCAAAAGGGATGACTTCTTCCCCTGTTGAAGCCCCATCAACTGGTACTAATAACCAATATTGAAACAATTTCTCACCTCTATGAAATAGCACTTCAAAAGAACTGAAATGCTTTGACTTTTACTGGAAAAGCTTCCATTTTCCAATTTCTGTGTTGTTCCTTCTTTGCTTAAAGAAGTCCAGATTTCTGGACTTTCTATTCTCTCCCACTGTCTATTTAACTATCTAGCACCAGAAGCTTCCCATTTTAATTACTTTACCTCTACAACGAATCCTGAAATCCAACAGGCGCACCTCGTTCTTTTTCTTCAAGATAGCCTTGGCTCTTCTGGGCCCTTTGCATTTCCAAATTGGTTTACTCTGATTAAAGATTATACCCTACAGGCCTTTTCTGCATCTACTGAGATAATCCTGTGGGCTCTTTTGCTCTGTTAACATGGATTTGCAACTGTTAAATCAATTATGCACTTCTAAGATTAAAACACTTGGTCATGATATAATTTCTTTACATACTGCTGGATTCTATTTGTGAATGTTTTAAAGATTTTTGCATCTTATATTCATCAGGGATTAGTTCTGTTTATCTCTTACTCTTTGTTCCCTTAATCTGCTTTCTTTTTGAGAATTCTCTATTCCGTTTGGACCCTGTATTAGCTTGAAAGTTATCTTTCTTTCTTTTTTTTTTAAACATTTTTATTTATTTTTGAGAGACAGAAAGAGACAGAGTGTGAGCAGGGGAGGGGCAGAGAGAGAGGAAGACACAGAATCTGAAGCAGGCTCCAGGCTCTGAGCTGTCAGCATAGAGCCCAACATGGGCTTGAACCCACCAACTGTGAGATCATGACCTGAGCTGAAGTCGGATGCTCAACTGACTGAGCCACCCAGGCGCCCCGAGAATCATCTTTCTATCCTTTAGTGATTATCCTAGAGATTACAGCATCCCTCCTTGATTTATCAAAACCTAACATTCATAGATAGTTTCATCCTCTTGGTGGCCAATCAAAGAACTTTTAGAACATCCAAATATTATCATTTTCAATGTTCTTCCTTCTTTTCTGTATCTCTGACCTCCCCTCTAGATCATTTGCCTTCTGCCTGAAGAACACCCTCTTTACTTGAAACCTTCATTCTTTTTTTTTTTTTAACGTTTATTTTATTTTTGAGACAGAGAAAGACAGAGCATGAACAGGGGAGGGTCAGAGAGAGGGAGACACAGAATCTGAAAAAGGCTCCAGGCTCTGAGCTGTCAGCACAGAGGCCGACGCGGGGCTCGAACTCATGGACTGCAAGATCATGACCTGAGCTGAAGTCGGCCACTTAACCGACTGAGCCACCCAGGCGCCCCTGAAACCTTCATTCTTGAAAGAGTTTCACTTGTCAAGTTTAGGTTGACAATTATTTCCTTTAGCATTTAAAGTTATCATTCCACTGTCTTCCGGCATCCACTGTTTTTAAGAAGTTAGTGGTCAATATAACTATTACTCTTGTGATCATAATGCCTTGTTTCCTCTGGCTGCTTTTTTTTTTTTTTTTAATAACTCTTTATTTATTTTTGGGACAGAGAGAGACAGAGCATGAACGGGGGAGGGGCAGAGAGAGAGGGAGACACAGAATCGGAAACAGGCTCCAGGCTCTGAGCCATCAGCCCAGAGCCCGACGCGGGGCTCGAACTCACGGACCGCGAGATCGTGACCTGGCTGAAGTCGGACGCTTAACCGACTGCGCCACCCAGGCGCCCCACCTCTGGCTGCTTTTTAAGGTTCTCTCCTAGGTGTTCAGAAATTGGCTGGCGTAAGAACAGGTGTGGAATTTTTATTTATCTTATCTAGGTTCATAGGGCTTCCTGAATCTGTGGCTTAATGTCTTTCATTCGTTTTGCAAAGTTCTTTTCTACTTCTATCTTTTATTTCTCTGCCCTTTATTACTGTGGCCCTGACTGTGGATCTTAGGCCATCTCACTCCAGCCTCTCTGCGTCTTTCCCTCTCTTCTGTATTATTGTTGTGTCTTTCCAGGGGTTTAGTCTGTGTATTATCTTCTGATCTATCTTCCAGTTCACTACTTCTCTCTCCGCTTTCACTTAATCTCTTGATAAAATCATCCATTGAGTTCTTAACTTCTGTTAGTGTGCAACACAGATCTGTAACAGACTTTCATTCGGTTCTTATATATTTTTACAGCTCTCGACTGAAATTCCCACTTCCTTGATCATAGCAAGCACTATTATTCAATATGCATACGATAATGCATATGATATGCATATGATAACAATATGCCAATTTGGAGCTCACCCAAGTTTGCCTCAACTGTTGATGTTTCTGCTGGCTACTTATTTTCAATGATCAGCCAGTCATGACACATACAAAACTGTAAAACAATTTGAGGGAAGGGACGCCTGGATGGCTTAGTCGGTTAAGTGTCCGACTTCGGCTCAGGTCATGATCTCGTGGTCCGTGAGTTTGAGCCCCACGTCGGACTCTGTGCTGACAGCTCAGAGCCTGGAGCCTGCTTCCCATTCTGTGTCTCCCTCTCTCTCTGCCCCTCCCCTGCTCATGCTCTGTCTCTGTCTCAAAATAAAAAACATTTTAGAAAGTTTTTTTAAAAATAATAATTTGAGGGAAAGTAATTTGAGGTGCTATACTCCTGTAATGATGTTACATGTGCTTCCAGCAGGCAGCTGAGGGCACCATTAATTCTAGAACATCTTAATCCTACTTTAAAGTTTATCTTCTTGTGGGGCACCTGGGTGGCTCAGTCAGTTCAGCGACCAACTTCGGCTCAGGTCATGATCTCACGGTTTGTGGGTTCGAGCCCCGCGTCCAGCTCTGTGCTGACAGCTCAGAACCTGGGGCCTGCTTCAGATTCTGTGTCTCCCTCTCTCTCTCTGCCCCTCCCCCACTCATGCTCTGTCTCTGTCTCAGAAATAAGTGAATATTTTTAAAAAGTTTTTTTTTTAAGTTTATCTTCTTTTGGTTCCCCCTTGCCCTCATGTCTTTGGGGTTCCAACTAAAAAGGAGGGGTTCACTACCCTCTGTTTAAAGCCCCACAAGGCTATCAAATGAAAATGCAACCCTATGGAAGAACTAAAAAAGGACTCAAATGTCAAAGTCACTACCCTGGGCCTCTGTTCTTACACAGATCCCGACTTGGTAGGTCTTCCCTATATTCTCAGCTGTACAATGCTTTCAGCCAGAGATGTTTCCCAAGTTTGTCCATCTTTTCCAGGTGCCTTCAGAAAGAGGGTTGGTCCTGGTCATCAACAGAGGAAGCTTCCATGTCTACCTTTTACCCAGGTTTTAGACTATTTTCAGGAACACATAATACCAAAAGGGGAGACTTCTCCTCTACACATACACAGAAACTACCTGTCTAGATCACAGAATCACCTGTCTAGATCTACCTGTCACAGAACCACCTGTCTAGATCAGACTGTCCGTGGAAAGTGTTTAACCAAGACCCTAAGGGCAGAGGTCTGAAAAACAGTAATTTCTACTCCAAAGTGTAACCCAAGAGGGAAACAGAATTCTCTTTCAACCGATTTTATTGTTTCAGATTGTTAGGGACCAAACTATATCCCTCCCCCCCCCCAAAAAAAAACTCTTAAGTCCCAATGTGACTGGAGAGATAAAGCCTTTAAAGAGGTAACTAAGGTCAGATGAGGTTATAAGGGTGGAGCCCTAATCCAATAGAACTGGTGTCCTTATAGGAAAGGGAAGGGCACCTGCTGTATGTGCACCCACACGGAGAAAAGACGACGTGAGAACACAGGAAGCACGCAGCTATCTGCAAGCTCACCAGAAACCACTCCTGCTGGCCCCCTGAGGAAGACTTCCAGCTCCAGAACTGTGAGAAAATAAGCCTCAGTTATGGAAGCCACAGTGTCTGTGGTATCTCAAAGCCATCCGTTCTACGGCAGCCCTAACAGTCTAATACACCATGCACATCACCTGTACGACGTGGGACAGGCGACTGAGACCATCACTCGTTCTAGAAACAGTACCATAAATCCACTGGCCCCTAAATCCATAAGCAGAGCCTGACAAGTGGGCTTACACAAGGAACCCCAGCGGAACAGCAGCGGAACAGCGGGCAGCATGCTGAAGGAGAAGAGGAACACAGACGCTCCGGAGAACAAGTCATTTCAAACTGATCGCGGCAGAAAGTTAAACAAGGGCACACCGCACACACTCAGCCAGGAAGCGAAGCTCATCTGAGCCCCCTTCCGTCATGAGAAGCTTTGGACCAGATTCTAAAAGAATTCTGTAAATGTCTCCTACACCACCACCCCCCCCCCCCCCCCACCATCGTCACCGCATGTGAAATCAGGATCCTGCCATGCCATGATCTTGGCAGATGCACCGGGTTCACAAGGGGTGCCCTGTTACCCACAGCCCCTCACAACCTTCAGCAAGTGCTCCCCTCGCTCTGGAGGACGGAGGCAGCATAAAACACGGCCAGTGAGCTCACGAAGACGCACACATCCACATCCATCCCAAAGCCAGACCAGCATATACTGGCTAGTCCACTGTACCTCTCCTCTATCAACACAGTAAGCAGGAGACTCAGACACAGGAAGCCGCCTCTCTGGCTCTCCTCAGACACTAGATCTTGCCCGGGCACCCTTCACGAAGTGGGCTATTTCCCACTCCCCCCGAAAGCTCTGCAATCGAGCATTTCTAGAGGGGGAGGAGAGGCTCACATACTCTGCAGAGGGTCACCTGCCATCTCACCCAGCTTCTGCTCCCACTGCCGTCACCTGGGTGGCCGGGGGGCGGGGTGGAGAACAGTATAGCCATCACTCAGTATCAATTAAAATTTAAAATACATATGTCCTGGGGTACCTGGCTGGCTCAGTCGGCACAGTATGCAACTCCTGATCTCAGGGTTGTGAGTTCAAGACCCAGGTTCAGAGTAAAGAGGACTTAAATAAATAAATCTTTAAAAAAAAAAAAAAAACCAAAATATACATGTTCTATGAAGCAGAGATTCCTCTTATCATCTATCCTCGAGAACCAATCTGCATAAACTATATACAATCAGAAAATCCATCAATAGGAAACTCGATAAAATGTGGTCTACATACAAACTTTGAAATATTAAACAGCTATTAAAAAGATCCGGGTTGATCCATATGTATGAGAAAGACTGTCAAAACATATCTCTGACTTCCAAAGCCATAAACATGCAACAATACAGATGGAAGTCGCAAACATGGTGAACAAAAAATGGACACAAAATAGTTCACTCTGTTAGATTCCACTCATATAAAGCACAAAAACAGGCAAAACGGACGTGTCCTGGGAGAAGTCAGCATAGTCGTTACCCTTAAGGATATAGGGGTAGAGACTACAATGGAGCAAAAAAGGGCTGGTGGGCAGAGGAGCTGGTAAATTTCTGATTCTCAATCTAGATGCTGATTACCTGGGCATATTCAGTTTGTAAAAATTCATCAAGCTGTCACTTCTGATAATTACATTGTTCTACCTGTATTTTATACTCCAGTTAAATGTTTGAAAAGGTACAATACCATTTTAGGTTAAAAAGTCTATTTCTTTAAGTACTTTCACAGATGCACAGATAAAATGTGTAGGACTCAGACGGGGGCCAGGGGTGGTAAAGGGCCCTGGTTTACCTGTAATGTTTAATTTTCTGCAATTGAATGTATGTGCATTATCTGTAAGACTAAAAATTAATAAAACTTAAAATGGGAAAAGAAGTTTGGCCACAGTGACCTCTACTCCTCCAACTACACCCAGGGTGGCTAACCAGGAGAGTCCTGGGTAAGAGGAGGTTTGGAAATGGTTTTTCAGGTCAGGAAAGGCAGGATTGCATTGCCCTGGCTCTCCTTCCTCTGAGTGGCCCTGCAGGACCCACTCTCAGGTGGAGGGTTCACAGGAGGGGACAGCCAGGTGGAAAGGGAAATCAGAGGTCACCTCTGTAACTTTCCCGCCCCTCCATTTCTGACCCCCAGGTCCTCAGGGCACAGAGAAGCTAGACCTCCTTTAGGAGGCCTGAGCCACAGGGCTCCTCTCTAACCCAGTCCCCGCCCAAACCAGCGGTCTAAGGTAGGCCCTGGTCTGCCTGGCTTATGAGCACCTGAAGGGAAGGTCAAAACTTGGGTGACAAGGAAATTCCCCAAAAAACCACAATCAAATAAATAAATAAACAATCTTAACCAATGGCTGTCAGCCCAGGGTTCTGAGAACTCATGCATGCTTTCTGAATTGATGGGGGGGGGGGGGTGTTAAGAAGGAGGGCTGTCAGCGACATTAGACGTTACATTAAAGGCATTGTCCTCATACCTGAAAACACTGTGCACCACTACACAAGCCAGAAGGAAAAAACATCCTGACATTAACATCCAAGAGAGTCAGCTTCCAAGTCAGCCTCCTGTTACCATTGGCTCAGGTCTAGGAGGCAAGCAGAGGCCCCGCCCTCTCCTCGGATGGACAGACAACAGCTGGTCTGGTCACATCTTCCGAAACGCTTGACCACAAACTCCGGGAAGCAGCCTTCTCCAACCTCCAGCCAAGGGCTTGGGTTTCCAACCAGCCTGCCTTTTCCTTCTCCGGAACTAATTTTAGCCTCCTTGGTTGTCAGAGTGGAACTGAAATAGTCCGCAGAGGAACATTTGCAAACGAGAACACAAGCTCACCTCACAAAACACCTCTGCTCCAGCCCAAAAGCTGACCAGAGAAGTCCCTTTGTGTGGCAGGCCAGGCCCCTAGAGACGCTCCCCCCGGGGGGGGGGGGGGGGGGGGAGGGCCACACATCTGCCCAGAGAGGCAGGCTTCCTTTCCAACACCTGCTCCCAATAACCACATGTCCATGAATGAGAACACCCAGCTAGGGCTGCCAATCCCCCAGAGTCTGAATAAAAGCACACGCATGTGTACAGCAAGACTGGAAAAACCGGGGCGAAGCACGGCGCTGTCCAGAGGCAGGAGGCCATGATTGATCTTGGGCCAGGAGGAGGCACGGCTTACCCCCAGCCCAATCATCACCTGGTTTCCAGTACCTCGGACAAAGACATCACTGGGCAATTTAAAACACAGAGACTCAGAAAAAGGCAGCAGCGTCTCCTCTCCCCCATCTCGGCCCCCACTCCCAACTTGGGCATCCAGGAGTGGCACCACCAGGTCCTCAAGAAACAAGCACGTCCGGGCTACGCTGGGCCCGAGTCTGGCGAAGAAAGACCAAAGAGGAAGCCCCAAGGAGGTGGGTATCTATTCTACAGCAAAGAATTGGTGACTGAATGGGAGAAAAGAAAAAGAGTTCTGAGAAGGCAACAGGATGGAATGTAGTCTCGACCCCAGTAAGAAGCCCTTTAAAATAAACCCTGGGCACACCAGTGAGTGGAGAAGTTGGAAACCCAAGCATTTGGGGCTGCATCTTCTAAGAGCCCAGTGTGCAATCTGATGCCCGGGCAAGCTGTGTCTTGCAGAGCCTGAGATCAGAGAAGAGCCCCCAGAAAGCCCTCCCTCGCAGAGCTCCGAGCAGGTCAGGAGAGGCGTGGAGAACAGACACGGGGTGCCTACCTGCCAAGCCCAACACACAGGCGCCCAGAGAGACCAAGCCCTTGGGTCCGGCCGTCAGGGCTGGCCACAGTGCTGCCCACCCCACCTCCCGGGGCCTGCCCGCCCACTCCCCGAGGCCAGGGTGGAGGCCCGCGCCCGCCCGTACCTCGGAGGAGAGGCTGCCCCCCTGCGCTGGCGTCCCCAGGCTCGGCGGGGCGCCAGGTGGCCAGCCTGCTGGAGGGCAGGGGCATGCCCGCGTCCTGCTGCAGCCCCAGAGTTGCTGCGGCCCGCCGCCAGCCTCAGCTCCCAGCCGCTGCGCGGGCGGCTCCCTGGCCCGCGGCCCCCGGGTTCCAGGCGGCACCGCGGCCGGGGCAACACGCACTGCCTGACATTCTGCGCGAGTGGGAGGGCGAGGCCCCAGTGCAAAGCTCAAGGCGGCAGGCAGAGGCGGGTGGGCGGGTGCGGGCAGGCGGGCAGGCAGGCTGCCTGGCCACCCACGGCCGCCGCCTCCCTGAAACCCGAACCGCTTTTGGGAAAACTCAAGGACGCCAGGATTCTCCTTGCTGGCTGGCCGAAGTACTCCCGAACCGCTCATTTCCAACCAAACTCTCAAAGCCGAGCAGGCTGAACAAACAGGGATCTCCCTGGCTTTGAGAAGAAGCCAACCTCCCATCCTGAATGCAGGAAGGGGGAGAGGAGGGGTGCCGTAGGCATTAGCCATAACCCCACCTCCCACAACTGTCTCTTTAAAAGCATGGGAACAGGGGCGCCTGGGTGGCGCAGTCGGTTAAGCGTCCGACTTCAGCCAGGTCACGATCTCGCGGTCCGGGAGTTCGAGCCCCGCGTCAGGCTCTGGGCTGATGGCTCAGAGCCTGGAGCCTGTTTCCGGTTCTGTGTCTCCCTCTCTCTCTGCCCCTTCCCCGTTCATGCTCTGTCTCTCTCTGTCCCAAAAATAAATAAAAAACGTTGAAAAAAAAGAAATTAAAAAAAAAAAAAAAAAAAGCATGGGAACATTCCAGATCAGACGTTTTCAACCTCAGGTGATTTGCAACCCCTCCGTTTAGGACATTTTTGTTGTCACCATTAGAAGGGCTATTAGCATTGGGGTGCCTGGGTAGCTCAGTCCCTTAAGCGTCCAACTCTTGATTTCGGCTCAGGTCATGATCTCAGGGTTCTGGAGAGTGCGCTCCTCCTGGGGCACTGCGCTGACAGTGCGGAGCCTGCTTGGGATTCTCTCTCTCCCTCTCCTTCTGCTCCTCTTCCACTCTCTTTCTCAAAATAAATAAAAATGAACATTCAAAAATAAACAAACAAAAAGAAGGGGTCCAGGTCAACAATAGTGTTGAGAATTGAGAAACTCTGTTCTAGTCTACCCAGCCAGGACCATGCCTGAGAGCTGTCTATACAGTCTCATTCTCAAAAGTATTCCCCAGACCAACTCCCCCTGAGCCCCCAGATCTCAGTCCACAGTAACAAGCCAGTATCTACAAGTGAATCTAAGCTCTAACTTGACGTCCCTTGGTCCCTACTTGCACCACCCTAAGCTCTTAGGAAGGGGGTGAATGCATTGGCACTCAAGGGGGGGTGGTGTGCCTGGGGAAGGAAGAGAAGGCAGAGACCAGGGGCTAGCATGGAAACACTATACAGGGATCACAAAAGGCAGAAGCAAAGAAGTCATGTCCAGTGGTTAGAACAAGGAAAGTGGAGGAAGCGACGTGGGAACAAGCCCAGTGCACCCCCAAAGACAATGAATTGTCCCTAAGGACCGGTAGAGTGGCTATGTGCAGGACAGCCAGGACTTCACGGAGCCCAACCCGGGGGGCTCCAGGTTCCTGGTATCCATGCAAAACAGCAAGTGCGTATGCACAATGCATGTACCGACCGTCACATGCACATGCTTTTTCTCTTATTTGTATTTTCCCAGGGGGAAGAGTCCACAGCTTTCATCAGAGTCTCAGAGGGGACTCATGATACAAAGGTCCATGCTATACGATGGGCACTCTTCACTGGGCTCCCTGAAAAGGTAATTTCGTGGGGTGCCTGGGTGGCTCAGTCCAATTCTTGATTTCGGCTCAGTTTGTGAGATCGAGCCCTGCGTCGGGCTCATCACTGACAGCGTGGAGCCTGATTAGGATTCCCTCTCTCCTCTCTCTCTGCCCCTCCTCACCCCCATGCGCATGCACTCTCTCTCAAAAGTAATAAATAAACATTAAAAAAAAAAAAAAGAAAGAAAAGCCAATTCCTTAGGCAAAGTGCCAGGGGAAGTCCGGGTGCTATTTGGTGATTCTCGATGCCCAGAAAGCCCTGCAGGGCAGTACACTCAAGCTGTGGGAGACTCGGGGTTCCAGGACTTGTGTGTGCACACAGCTACAGAGCCTGGGAGGCTGGGTGAGTTTCTCTTATCATTTACCTCGGAAGAGCCTCTAAGAGATTAAGGGTGCCCACTCCTCCCAAAGGGCAGCCCATCCAGCCAGCGACTGGCCTAGAGTACCCGGCAGGTACGAGGATGGGTAGCAAAGGACACTTTTCCCTGACGAATGGCACCAGCACCCAGTGGCTCTGTAGTCTGTGTCCTTAACAGTCACCACTAGACCAAGCCTGAGGGTCCCTACACTCATCACACACACACACACACACACACACACACTTCTCCCCTGCGGAAACACACATCTTTGGGTCAGAGAGTAGCCAGCCTATGAGGACAAAGCGGGCAGTCAAAGCGGGCAGTTCCTGATAGGACAGACAAGGGTCAGGTCCTCCTCCCCTAGTGGCTCCTGACATTTCACTCAGAACATTCTCCACCCTACCCTCATTTGAACCGGAAATACAGAGATAGAGGTCAAGAGTTCTTAAAAGATATACAGACATGTGTCCAGGATCTCCATTGCAAGACAAGAACCAAATAACTTACTTTGTCGCAAGGACACTAGGCCAGGCCCAGAACCCAAAAAACTTGCAGAACTAACTGAACAGTGATCTTGTAACAAGCACCATGAGCCATTATGATAGCATAACAGAAGTTCTGCCTTTTCTTCCAGGCCTGCGCCATCCAATATGGTAAACCACTGGCTAAATGGGACTACTGAGCACTTGAATTGGGGAAAGTTTAAGTTGAGATGTTCTAAAACACACGCTGGATTTTGATGATAGTACCAAAAAAAAAAAAAAAAAAAAAAAAGAATGTAAAATATCTCATTAGGTGATTTAATACTTATTACATGGTGAAACGATTACTTTGTATATATTAGGTTAAATAAATATACCATCAAAGTTAATTCCATCTTGTTACAGACTGTTTGTGTCCCCTCGAAATTCGTATGTTGAAACCCTAACCCCCAATATGACGGTATTGGAGCTGGAGCCTTTGGGAGGTAACCAGGGTTAGACTGGTTCATGAGGGTGGGGCCCTCAATTTGGGATTAGCGGAAGAGGAAGAACGATCCCTCTCTACCTGGCCCTCCAAACACGAGGAGAGGCCACGTGAGGACGTGAGGATACAGTGAGAAGGCAGCAATCTGTAAGCCAGGCGGAGGGTCCTCGCCACATCCCTACCATGCTGGCACACTGATCTCGGACTTCCAGACACTAGAACTATGAGAAATAAATTGTTATTTAGGTCACCCCGCCTATAGTATTTAATACAGCGAGCGGTCCGAGCAGACTAAGCCACCTGTTTCTTTTCCCATTTATTGACACAACTACTAGAACATTTTAAGGTATGTATGTTGTTGACGCTACGTTTCTGTGGGACAGTGCTGTTCTTGACCCTCCTACTGCGTGCTGCAGAGGACGGGGGTAATTCTAAACAGCAAGCCAGGAGCTGGAAGGGCGGGCATCCATGAACTCAAAGAACAGGAGAGCCAGCTCTCCCCTACCTGCGCCCGAGGCAGCTCTTCCCATAGCTGTTCACAGATCAGGGCAGTGGCCACCAGAAACGTCTAGCGACCCCACCTTCCTCCTAGGGCAGGACCACAGGTCCTTGGATTCCAGTCGAAGTCTAGCTGTCCCACTCTGCAAGGAACACTGCTCGGCACTACCCAGGCCGGGTGGGGGGAGCAGAGGGAAGGAGGGAAAGGCAGTCCTTCCAGGGGCCCCATTCCACCCTGCCGAGTCTCATCAAGGGGGGAAGTGAGACTGGCGAGACCAGAGCGAGACCAATTAGGATGAGGGTTCCAGGTCTGAGGCTGTCCTGTTCTAGGAGGAGGCCCTCTGTGCAGGCAGGGAGAGGACTGAAAGAGCCCGGGACCTTCGAGAGGGATCTAGAGACAGCCAGGCAGGCTGCCGCGTGCCTATTGAGTCAGAAGCCGGCTCCTCTGGAAGGCAATGCCTTTCTTTCTCTTCAGAAGCATCTCAGAGCAGCACTGAAAAGGCAGAGTTCAACACCATCACTTTGCTTCCACCACACAAGAAATGGCTCCAAAAGAGCCGCGACGCCCCATCCCACACTGGACCCAGGGACCAATAAGGGGGTCCCCGTCCTCTTGCTCCTGCACTCAGGCTACGCAGCTCCAAACTCCACAAGGAGAACTCACCTGCTTCGAGTGCAGACAACTAAGCGGTGATACATTCAAAGGAGGCGGGAGAGTGGGGGTGGGATGGGACGGAGATTCCCCCATCCCCACCCCCGCAGCAGCGCGGGGATCCCTGCCCGCCCCTGCAGGCCAGGCCCCGCCCTTCACGGGTTTCCCAGACTCCGCGCTGCTGCCACCGCGGGCGGCAGGGGACCCGCGCTGCATGTGTAATGGGGGCTGGGAACAAAGACTCGCAGGACCCGACGCCCCGGCTGCCGCGCACCAGCCGCCCCGACCTCTCGGGGCTTCTCCCTGGAGCTTCGACGCGCGGCTCTCCACGCTGCTCAGGGCTGCCTGGAGCCACCCGAACTGGAGCGCGGAGCCCATCCCTGCGCGCAGCCCGAGTTGGGCGCGCCCGAGCACCGCTCGAAGAGGAAAATCACTGCTTCGGCCTTGGGGAAAAGCGCTTTTCCCGGCGGAATTCCCACTGTATGCACCCGCACCCACACACCCTCCTCCACAGGCACGCGAGCCGGACGCTAGCCCCGCCGGTCACCCGCCCCCGCCACGTGCTTCCCACAGGCACAAACAGGGACCTGTTAGTGTTTCATCGCACCCCACCCCTCTTCCCAGGAGCCTCAAACAAAGCGGTCCGTGGGGCGACCGCACCTCGCGTCCTGGGGCCGCCGCAGGGAAAGCGGGCGTAGGTGGGAGCTGGCGCCAAGTGCCCGCCTCGCGGGGAACCACGACGCAGACGCCGGTGGGACTCCTCCAGGATGTGTGAAGCAGCCCCCTTCGTCTGGCTACACCTAGTGGCTCTGAGGGTCGCGCAGTCCTGCCCCCAGCCCCTTCTGCGCCTACAATCCCGCCACCTCCGGGTTAGATCTGCCTAC